CTTTGAAACTTGTGTAGCAAAAATTACAGTAAATTCCTTTTATTTTTTAATTTTATTTTACACATGCTTTTGCATTGTTTCAATATCCAGTCTTTCCTTTTGTTTTTGTAAAACACACAGAGTTGAACTTACGATAGTACAGACAACTACTACACACAAAACTGCTATTGCCACTATTACTGTACTTTTAGCACCATCATCGTTGCTGTCATACTCTAAAGGCGTGGATGCTTTTGGAGGAATGAACCATGTGGCTTGTGCTATATTAGACACCTCTGAAATCAAGTTGGTATCATCAATAGCACGTATAGCAAAGTAGATTGTGGTGTCATTTTCTATTGTGAAATTTTCTGGTTTAATTTTAAATGATTCTTCTCTACAAGCCTCCTTAGGTATGAGATTAGAGGAACTCACAGAAGTAGCACTATCAAAGTTATTTCTTAGTTCCTGAAGATTTTCACTGCTTTTTATGATGTAGTGATCAGCTAGGGAAAAAAAGAATGCATGTTAACAACAAATTAATATAGATGTTTTAATATCCCTGCTTGTGGTGGCAGTATAGGACTTCTAGAGCCATTTTGTAAAAAAATGTGCTGATGATTGCTGTTTTACTACTGACTATTGCTCAGCATGGAGGGTTGGCAAGTTTGCTTTTAAACCTTACTTTACAGTGTCAAAGGTCTATTGCTGCTGAGTCTGGGACCTCCTTCTTTTCAGTTAAAAATTGAAATTGAATCTGCCTTAAAAATACTATTTCACCAACACCCTTAGCTTTATGCAGACCTGTGCAAAATGTAGCTGATTGAGAAACTGTGCAGTCCAAATACAAACATAAGGTGAAATGGCAATTAAAATATGTGTAGATAGCAGGAGCAGGCCTTGCATCTGATCTGTGTTCTCTCTCTCAGCATGAGGTTTTGATAGCAAAAACTGTGAAAGACACAAAATGATTCTCCCATTTCTAATCAAAGAACTGATAGTTACATTGCTATAAATGTTTGATTAATTTTGTGGGGTTCTGCTGTTTCTATTTCAAGTATGTAACTTTTCAAGACTTTCTCTTCTTCCGCCTCTCTTCTTCTTATGCGTATCTTTTCTTCTTTACATAGTAAAGAGATGTGCATGATATGCCCAGCTCCAAACCAGTGCAGGACCTGCTATCTTAAACTATAATGCAATAGCTGATCACTTTAGCTATTAAAGTTTTTGGACGCAGAGTTGCTAAATAACAATATAACTAGTTGAGAATTTTTTTTTTTATATGAGTTTTTTTTTTGTTGTGTGGCTGGTTATTAAGAATTTTAGATAAATGTAAGATTTTAATCTGAAACTGTAGATTGTATATTTTAACATACAATCTCTGGGTTATGCAAGGAAATGCTTTTCATTCCACATGAAATACATTTCATCTGGAATTAGATTTCATTTTTTCTGTACAACAACTTTAAAATTAGTATTTTGGATAGAACATTACTGCACCTCTGTAGTCCATTTACATCACTGTAAATAGACTAAAGCTTTGTATTGATTTTGGGTTTTTTATTTATGCACAGACATGGACTAAGGCTTGTTGCTAAAGTCTCTAGTGCTTGTACTATAATTTGATTTATTTGATTTGTTTATAATATTCTTTGGGTTACTTGGTTTGGGTTTTTTATAACATGAAAAATTAAGGAGAACTAAAATAGGTATCATGCAACAGGGTAACTTTCTGTTTGGTTACGTTTTCAGGTGGGAAAGATGTTGCCCTCATCCCTGAGTGGTGGTCATCAGGGTATGTCCTTTCAGATAAACATATCAACTTAATCTCACAAAAATGTAGTCTCTGACTCACCTTTTCCATTGTCGAAGTCACCTCCTGCAGCTGTCCAAGACAAGACTATTGTTTTGTTTTCTATATGAGCATGAAGGTCTGTAACTTTACAGGGTAGATAAATAGGAGCAGAATCTCCTCCTGTATTGACTACAAGAGAACTTGTTGAAATTCTGCTGAAACTTCCCAGCTTGACTTGCATTTCTTCATCAGTCAATTTAGGTCTTGGTGCATTCATATAAATTTTACCTGTTTAAAACATTTTTCAACTTTCATAGTGACAGAACTCTGAATTGTATTTTATTTTAATTTTTATTAACTCTTCTGATCCTGTAAGTTTTCTTTAGCTTATTCAAATTTAGTGGAAAGTTAGTGAAGTAAAGACAGAAAATAAGGTGATCTCAGGATTCTCAGCATAAAATTTAGGAAACCCAAAGAGCAGACTAAGTCTGAAATTTGTAAAAATTGGAAATGATGCAACCAGTAAAGCAGCTTGCAGATGTTGGTGAACCATGGCTGCAATAAGGTAGTTCTATCCATCTCTTCACCCATATTGCAGGCCTTAAGAGAGTTACTGTTATATAGGCCATAATTTGCGAGTTTTTTAGACTATTTTTATGCTGATTTTTCTAAATTTCACAAAGTATAAGTAACTGTGAGAATATTAAATTGCAATAACCAGTATTTTTTTTACTCCTTAAGATCAAAAAGTACTAAAAAACCAAGAAATATCAAAAGCTAAGTTTTCTAGCAGCATTAGTTTGTATACAAATGTTGCATGCTGAATTTATTTACCCCAAATCCCCATTTTAAAATCTCAAGAAGACTTAGAGATTTGAAATTCCTGTTGCGAGATGCTGAAATACAGACTCTGAGAAATATTTATCCTTCTCATGGCTGTAAGAGAAAATAATTTTGAGATTAAAGACAAGATTTTATGTTGTTCCCATACATAGGAAACAGTAGTTGGAGCTGGTTTGTTTTGTTTGGGCTTTTTTGTAGTGAAAATAATAGATGGAACATCTTTTAAGATCAAATGCAATTTTTGTGAATCTAAATGATCCTATTTACTAAATCTTTATACCTCCCTACATACAAATCATGCAAAGAATTGTCTGTTTCATAAACCCTCTTTACAATTTTCTCTGTAGCCTGGTATATACAAGGCTTGATTTTGCTTGAGGCTGAGTCTGGTGGTTGTATTTCTCCCACAGGCGTTCACTTTTAGACTGTATCTTCCAGTGCCTTGTAAAGAAGTAAAGTACCTTGAGTAGATTCCATCATTCTTCATCATGTCAGCACCTTGGTATAGAATTGAGAATTAGTATCTCAAACAAGATACCTGCTGGTAAACAAGGTTATTTTTGCTATTCATACTTAAACATAAAACCTGAACATTACTATGCAGAAAACCTGGCAGTGTTTTTGTAATGTGGACATCTTTAAAAATAGGAGTGGTGCCACTATGACAACCTGCCTTTCATATGTATTTTGTTAAAAAGAACCATTTTGCATTAACACCTTTAATTCAGTAAATCTCGTTACTATGTAGGACCACCAAGTTAATACTTATTGGTCATCTACTACATAAAGCGACTGTAAATTAGAAAAATGTCAGAATTTAATCTTTGGCCAGGAATTCATCAAGACAGAGTTCCTTCTCTTTAAGTGAACTTGTGCAGTTGTACCTGACTGGCTGCAGCAGATGATCTGCTGATGGCATCCAAGCTAACTATTTTAAAGCCTGGCAGCAATGTAAAAATAACCTAATGGGTTCAGAAAATATAAGATGTTTAAAAACACAAGATAACACATTGAAATCTTACGTTTTTAAGTACGACAACGTGAAAGCAAAGACAGAATGAGGAGGCACTGCTGGCTACTACTGAACTTACAAAGTTACAGGTCTACAGCAGTGGTGAAAGAAAAGGAAGAGGAGAGATGAAAAGAAATTGAGGGGTGCTGAATGCAAGGAATGTCTTGCTATTGCTCTAAGAAAGAGTATTCTTGAAAAGAAGAATAATGCACTTATTTAACATACCAAAGAGATAAAGCTAATGTTTGGTGAGCTAATGTTAAAACTGTAGTACAACTTCATAGAATATGAGATGGACTAACAAAACAGCTTGTTTTCTTTTTACCTTGCCTCTTGAGGGCAGATGATTACATGAAGTACACTTACAGAAAGTAGATATGAGCAACATACCCTCTGCCATGCACAGTTCTGCTTTCACCCTCAATAACATCACAGGAAAGAAAGGGGAACAATTTTTCAGGTGAAGGCCCATGACTTTGATTTCCTCACCCAGAAAAAGCTTTGTAGCTTGCTTCCATCCTAAGCAGTAAGGTTCTCTGTCTCCTTTTTTATTTTTCCCTTGATTTAGGGCATAGCCATGACTCAGTCCTTAGTGATAAATCTGAGGGGAGCACGCAGACTTGGATTCCAAAATGCATAAATGCAAAGGTTTTTACTATGTATATGGAACCTTACCTGCGCCATTATCAAGAAGTTCAAGGGTTACTGCTGCAGCACCATCCTTCTCTATGGTGGCTATCACAGTTGCACCAAGAACAGGCAAAAACCCTTGGCTAACCTCTGCATAAACAACTGGACTAAATGCCGTATTTGCCCTGTTCATATGAGCTGCAATGCTCACAGGAGGAACATCAGGACATGCTGGTTGAGAGGCAGGTGTTACTGATATAGCTTGAGTTGCTCTATGAACATTTTTAATACAAAACTGCCAATCACCCGCCTGCAAATAAAATAAAAAAATATAAAAAACTAGTGAAAAAGCTTCATGTTCTAACAGAGACATTTTTTCCTTTATATAATAAAAAAATAATTAAAGAAAAGCTGTACGCTAGTCTATAGGAAATGTTAATTCAGTAAATAAAAGAAAATGTTCAGTCTTTTCCTCTGCAGTGCCACTTATACTGAGTCTAGCTGTGTTTGGGTTTGAATGATCAATTGTAAAGTCTGAGCTACCATATTCTTTTCCTTTGGTGTCCCTCAGGAAAAAAAATGTCTGAGAGAGACTCCATACAATGCTGAAGAAAGTGTTCTTTCCCGCAGTTTTGTCAATAGGCACAGTAGTATTCATCCATCCAGAATGCTGAACAACAAGCTCTTCGCTTTCAAGCTGTCATTAGAGAAATAAAATTTGTCTTATTGATATTTAGTAAAGAAGCATTTAACGTATTTTCAGAGTGATTCTTCATCCATTGCACAATATTGTATCCATCCATTGCTGACTTAAAATGCATTAGTCTTGGAGGAAATTGAAAAATATTTATGCCTTTTGGAAACTAGCGTGAAAAAAGATCTCTGCATACTTATTTGTAACTCAAAACTGTATTGAGAAGATGGCATGTTTTCTAGTTCTGCAGTCTCCACCTACAGGAAAATTAAGAGCCATTTGACACAACTGTGCAATGAAAAAGACTAATAAAATCCCAGATTCACTTTATGAAATGGCTGCTTGTGTAGTAACATTGATTTTAAATGCAAAATTATGGTAAACAGAATAAGTTCCAGTAACTGTAAGTCCTTCATTTTTGTATCTAAACTATTTATCTACTTATCTAAAGCATTGTGCCAGTAAGCTGTATTTCCGCTGCAGTTTGTCTCAAAATCCTGGACGAGAGAAAGAAAATGTCTCCACCTATGACACTAAGGCTTATGAGTAATGAGAGAGACAGAAATAACAACAGAACAGAGGAGGATATATAGAAGAGAGAAGTAAACTATTTCCTTTATTCAAATTAAAATAATTTTGTGTAATTTCCTCACTCCTATTTTATAGACAATAAAGTCTGCAGTTAGAAAATAGCCTGTCATAAACTTAATTTTTTTACCTGCTTAGGTGGGACAGAAGAGTCAATTAAAGGCAATATAACAACTCAAAAAATCCCAGACCAGCTTTTCAAATCTACATTGACTGTTGCTTATAATCTACCTATCTTTGCAAGTTGTCTGTTTTGGATAAATCATAGGACTGGATCTATGTTAAAATGTTAATGAAGTGAGGAATGAGCTGCTAAATTCTATTTAACAATTGACCTAGATGAAAAGTCTAAAAATTTATACATTAAAATGATACATATGGCTTAGGAGAGAAGCTGTATTTTTAATTGTATCTTTGTTACTTAACTTAGACTGTTAAAATGCTCTAAAAGATAATGTTTCATATAAGAGTGAAGTTAACATCTTGGGGGATTTCTGCTTGCTTTTCTTCCCTAAAAGTCTCTTGGACTTTGACAATTATAAGGAATAATTTTCTTGATTTTTGTGACATGAAGAATTATATAAATTATGTAAATTATATATTTATTTCATTACAGTGAAATGTGGGAGATCACTAAAAATGTATTCGCTCCTACTTTCAAATTGAGCCACTGACAATTATGATCATTAATACCTAAATTCATTCAGTTACTGATCAACTAAAAGCATAGGAGGAAAAAGAAGTGTTGAAATTCAGACCTGAATAGATTGTTCAGAAATATCTCCACTTCCTGATGTAATTGCACTGAATGTCTCAATTAATTTACAGGGGACATCTTTATCTACAGCATAAAGCTTTAAACCTCCTGAAAGACAAGACTGAAAGAATTAGAAATACTATTTTTTACTCTAAAATTGCTAAATTTTATGTGAGTTCTGGTACTGAATGTTCCGCTGAGGTAGCGAATTTGTTATGAAATCAAAAAAGAAATGTATCTTTTTATTAATGTGTTAATGTATGTTTCATAGTAAATTCTGTCTTGTGTGATCAACTCGTTTTATCTCTCATCGGCAAAGTTTGCAAAAAAATCATTCCCTGCAGCATATCGTCAAGTACAGCATTTTTAAACTTCTCCTAGTACTTCTGGAGTCACATATTATCCCTTCAGTGAAATTCTGCTCTGAAAATACCTCTGTAGAAAAGACACAGTGGCATTCCATGGTTTTTGACTCTTAAAATCCAGATCATCTTTTTTTCCAAATGTGAAGTTTAGATCTCCTTTCATGCATACTGAGTTCAAGCAGCTCTAGTCCATTGGAGGTTCTTGTACTCAGTGCAGGTCTGCTAATGAATTCATTGTGAATATGCCTTCATACTGCTCTGCTGAAGCATCTGCAATTCCTGCCTTTGTTGCAAGTCTCTCAAACGAGGATCACACATGCCAGACATAAGCTGATTTAATAAAATGTACTATGATTGGTAGACATTTGTATTATAAAAATAATATAATTTAGTACAATTGCAGATCTTTGCTGAAGATCAGTGTCAAGAACAGCTCTGGACTAGAATGGCATGTCTGGAAATAGATCTGTTGATGGAGCACTATGGGAGAATTCCACAATTATTATATGTATGCCGTAACTAAAGAGTTGGAGCATATACTGCTTTATGCTTCTTCATCTGTATTTTGGTTTAAGTGACTGTCAAATATTTAAGAATATTTCTCAACATGTTTGAGCTTTTTGAATTACCTTCTTTAGATGGATAGTCTTATTTTTAGGCATGAATTCCTGTGAGAAATGAAACACTGCACTTGCACTAATTTCAGTAAGAGAGTAATTATCATTGGCTCACCACTGAACTGTGGAAGAGGTAAGTTATGGATAAGAAAATGCAGTATGTCATCAAAAGAATAAAAGGTTGATTTTTAAAAGCTGTTGGAGTATGCATAGAGGTTTGAAGTCTATTAATAAATCATGAGATAGCTGCCTTATTTACCCAGATAATTTTATCATCTTTCTACAGATGATCACATTGCTTAGAGCTTTATAAAAGTATTAGGATATTTTGCAAATAAGCACATATTCAGGGACATTTAGTAAACCTTGCATCCATAAGCAAGCTTAGTATCTCATGCCACAAGAAGTTGTGAAAGAAGAAACCTATGCACGGTTTTACGGGAAAAAAAAGAAAAGGAAAATTGACCTCAGCCTTGTTAAAATGACATAACATTATGCCAGCTCACATTCTTGATTCCAAAGAGCAATATTGTATTGAGGGAAGAACATCTAATTTATTGACATATTGTGACCTACATATCTACTTTAAATTTTAAAATCATTCATAACAAAAATACAATGTGAAAGTACATCTATGATACATTTTCTGCTTGGAAGAAATACACTGGCATTGTCATTCTAGGTCTGGAAGAAAGGAAGGGAAGTATATAAAACTGAGATTTTAGATGAAAAAAACCCAAGCCTGGCCTACAACTCTCAGTATTTTTAAGTGATATCATGTAGAGATTCCTAAATAAAATTACCAAGGAGAATGAGTAACCTTTTTTTCCTAAAATAATAAAGTTAATTAAAGAATTGACTGATTTTTAATTATTTTGTAACTTTTTCTGTTTCTTACAATTTTTGCTAAAAATTGCTTATAAAATGCATATTCTTACCATTGTCATGCTCCCAGAAACATCCAGTACTAAAGCTACTGCTCTGTCTTGGGTCTGCAGTAGCCTGAAGGTAGTCTCAGAGGGAGGTGCAGAAGCATTTACAACAGCCGAGTTGCGAAAGTCATCAGATTCCATAATTACCTCCCATGTGCTTTTGTGGTTGCATAACTTATTCTGCATATTTGGAGCCTCACTATTGTGAGTGGTTTTATCACAAAATTCAACCGCCTAACAAGTCAGATTGAAGCTGATAATAATTCTGAACCCAACAGTATAAGGATAAGAAAATATCTTAGAAAACAGGAAGTTTGTGGTGGAGGACAGCAGAAACGGAGGTGGTGTTCTCCAGTGAATGTCCTCTGTGCCGTGGTGCCTGGCCAGCTAGGATCTTAGAAGAGGCAAGCAAAGAAAGTGCTCCGAAAGAACTTATCTCAGATTTTACATAAGCACAAGCATGTTGTGACATGCAGAAACAAAGCTTTTAGTCTGTTGAGTACTGAGATCCTTGGAGTGACTGATTCATGGAGCTCCTACTAGATTTAAGCCTGCTAACATAGATACTATAGCTGAGCAGCTTGGAGGTCAGTACAAGTTAGCTGCCTGAATATTAACTTCTTAGGTTAAGCTGATGGTCTTGGACCAGTTCCTGTAAATTTTCTTGAGTAGAATAAGGAAACATGCAAAAGATACAAAGTAAAAACTTTGAGAGAAGCAGGAAATAATCTTTTAGATGTTTCAGGATGTCCACTGCATACTGCTGAGGGAAGACCGTGACTCATTGCTGTGGATTAACCCTGGTGGGTAGATAAGCACCACACTTCCTCCCCCACCCCCACTAGGATGGGGGAAGAGGAAAGGAGGAATAAAAGCAAAAAAACTTTAAGGTCAAGATAAAACAAAACAAAGCAAAAAATGCTTAAAAAGTGAAGGATAAGTGAAAGAAGAGAGAAGGAACAAAATAAAAAGTGATACAAAGGCAATCACCCACCACCTCCCATGTGTAGACTGATGCCCAGCCATTTCCCAAGCATAAAATGGCTAACCATCCTAAAACCCCCTCTTCTCCCTTTTATAGCTGAGTGTGACGTTAGAAGGTATAGAGTATCTCTTAGGTTAGTTCGGGTCATCTGCCTGGTTTTGTCCCCTTCCAGCCTATTCACTAGCGGGGGCAGAGTGAGAAACAGAGAAGGCCTTGATGCTCTTCAGCTAAAGCTAGAACATTAGTGTGTTATTGGTACTGTTTTGGTCAAAAATCTAAAACACAGCACCATATGATCTGTTATGAAGAAAATTAACTGTATCCTAGCCAAGCCCAGTACATGCATAAAGTTCTTGGAAAGAGCTTGCCCAAAGAAATAAGGTCAATAGTTGGAGGAATTATGATCCTGTACCACAGAGATCTAGCCTGCAAGGAGACCGTCCATCCTGCTAACCCCTCTCCTAGCACCCTCTCCCAGACACTGAAACAGTACAGAGCTGGCATAAGGAGGCCTGCCTGGTTGTCCTGGCTACTTTCAAGACAGGTGGGCTGCCACTTCTGTGTTAAGGATAGATAGACAGGCCAGATTGTTCTGCAATACAGTGTAATAGAGCTAACTAGGTAACAAAGTTCAGGTGCCAGTTTACACAAGGGGTGATCAAAAGCTACAGTTATCTTATGGACAAGGCATTTGGCAAGAATGCTTCGCTTTCATGCCTTTTGACCTCATTCTTCAAACACAGAGCAAGGAGGACACTGAGACTGCAATATATCTTACCCTTATTGACAGGAAACTGATGTCAAATGATTTCTAGTAGCTTCTTTGTCTTCCCTTTTGAACAGATTTCAATAGAACTGATAGCATCATCCGTATACTTTGAAATAGAAATTAATTAAAGAAACACCTGACTGATCATTCTGCCCAGCAGAAACAACTGACCAGACTCCAAATTTTACTAAACTCTCAGTCCAGAAAGGTATAGTAATACTTACAGAAGGTATGTATTGCAAATACATAACAGAACATGAGATATTTTGTGGTATATCTGGAATAAATATACATCCGTTTTCAGACAGCTGACCATCATATCTACAGCTTCTTGGCTCACACGTGTCTCTGCTGCAGTCTGGGAAAACAGGTATACCAGTCACACCAGCTGGACAGCTAAGGGAAGAGAAGATAGGCAGGCCTGGTTAAGAACCCATATATAGTCTGTAACTCGTTATTTATTTGAATTTTGGCTACCCAAAGCCAAATTTCTATTGACACAGCACTGTACTAGACACTGCACAAATACATAGGTAGGCTATCTCTGTGCCTGGCAGTGTCCTCAAACGAATCTAGAAATAGTTAAAATCATAAACCACTTGTGGTTTTTTGTGATCTTCCTTGTGATAATTATAGGCTGTGCAGGAAAGACATCCTGCTAGTAGTTGCAATACAAAAGACTGTATTGGTATGTCTGAGCTAGGAAAAAAGGTAAGCTTGAACTAATTCTCTACATCTATTCAGTTATTGTCTCCCTTTGTAGAAACTGGTTAAAATCACAGTGGTTTCAGTAGGCAATTTCAGTGTTGTTGATAACTGCTCTTTAATAGAATTATGTTAAATAAGTACAAAACAAATGGTGGCTGAAGTCTGCAGTTGCATATAGAGCAAAAGATTATCCAGCCCGATCTCCTGAACCTCTTACAAAACAGCACCAAAGGCAGCTGTGGTTTTATGGGCTACAGAGCAGGCAATAGATGTTGCTGACTAAGCATCTTTTAATCACACAAACAGGTGGTGGACGCTACAAAGTACAAACTCAGCACAGACAATGAGAGTATGGAAAACGTTAGTGAAATGTTTAAACCTGTGTAATGTAAAAGCAGAAATATATATATAAAAAACAACAAACCTTGTTGCTTCAACACTTGCTGCTTCAGAATTTCTAGATACATAAAAGGGCATATCAGTACTATACTTGTCGAAAACCCCCCACCGAAAGTGAGCCCATTTGTTGACAAAGACTCTACCTGTTGGAAAAGAATAGCACATGCACATTCTAAATACAACTGTTTAAAAGCTACTCAGTGTTTTATATACTTTAACAATTTCAAATATTTCTTATCCAAGGTAATACAGGAAGACTATGAAATATTTAAGCAATTGGGATAATAATTTTTCCTTGAGGTAAAACTAGGAATGCACTAGTTTAGCAACCTAGGACTAGGACAACTAACAACTAACAACCTTAGGACTAGGTTGCTAACCAGGACTAGAATTTTTTCTTCATATTTGACTCGGAAATGCAGGCACTGTTCTAGAGGCTTTCTTCCAAGTTGACAAAAATGTCCTAAGAAAATTTAGGTTTTTTGAGGTTTCTGTCCCACAAAGCAACAAACGTTACATTGTTTTGACACAGTGTAGTACAAAACCAGATACACAAACACTGAATAGTTTATTTGGTAAGTGGTTATAAAAGGAAGGCAACTGCTAATGGCAGTAGTTAAGTGCAGAGTAATAATCATTTAAGGTTTTCAAAGCGCTGAACGACTTCTGGATCCAGTGTCTGAATATTTAAATTCAGACATTTCACAGGTATTTACTACTTCTGAAAAATACGTTTCTCAAAGTTTTTTTCATTTTAGCAAGCAAATTAAAGTACCCAAATTCATTCATTAAGTAGAAAAATCTTGGCCATTTTGTACGAACAATAAAACAAGCAGTAGTAATACTACTAAATAGTAGTATTACCTTTTTCTCCATCAACATTAAACAAATTGTCATTTAACAGGAAGTTAGGTGTGAAATGGATGTACTGTCCTTTCTCCTTACATCCTCCATACTGTAAGGTATAAGGATCATCTACATGTTTCATATAAGGGTCTGCTATGATGACATCTGCCTGAAAAAGTAAGACCAAAGTTATACATGACATGGGTGTAGAGAAGAGTTAGGTGATTCTTGTTGAATAAATTCAGTCCTGCAATTTTTTTTGTCCTCCAAACACTATCAACACTTTTGAGTAAGAACCTCCAGGATTAGTCCTAGATTTTGCTGTGATTCGTAATGTAGCCTTATCAGTCTAGCTTTTCCTTGTTGTTCTAATCATAAAGAGTTCTCTAAATCATACCTTATCATATGATTCTGTTTTTAATCTTGAATAGTTGCTATTTTTCTTCCATATTTTAGGAATTATGATTTTTACAGACTTGAAGAGAAATCAATGTTTTGTCATTTCAAAGAAGTAATTAGAAGCATTTTTAATCATGTTCTAGGGAATGAAAGAAAATAAAATATTAATATCAATGTTAATATTAAAAATTTGACTGTATGTGCAATGAATAATTTAGCTTTATTGAGAAACAGCAGTACAATAAAGTAGGACTAAGAACATAACACAAAACTAAGAAAGTATTACAATCTTCGCTAAGAAAAGAATAAACAAAGAAGCCAAGCACTAAGCTGTAATTCTTGGAATTTCTCACCAGTTCTATAATCCTGCTCTTAATCAGAGATTGTGATAAAATTCACACTCTAGCCTTTATATGAGATGAAAACTACTAAATTCTAGGATTTTAGCCTTAATACTGGCCTAACAGCAAGTGTGGGCAAGATTCAACACTGCATCTGCTTTTCATTTATCTGATTAATGTCTTAATTTTTCTCTCAAATTTGCTGTTTCGCATTTCTTCTTATTTGTATTATGGCTACTATATGCTGCCATTACTTTCCTTTCCTCTTGTTCTTTTACCACCACTCTTGGAGTAGAGGCATCAGAAAAAGCATTCCCTTTGTTTATTTTTCTCTCCACTAACAACTAAATGTTTAGTGAAAAAAAAAAAAAAGCAAGCAGGAAGGAGGGAACTAAAAATCTGTCCCACAGGCTTTTCATAAATAAGCTGAGAGAGGCTTTGGAATCAAATATCCATGTTACAGGTACATAAAATTCAGCTAAAGGAGATTTCTTGAAGAGATTCAGTTTGCCAGGACTGAGAGTGACAGTGCGTGCTAACCCATGAGAAGTTGAGCAGTAACGGGACGTGCCACTTCAGCTGTCCCCGTGCGACCCCCTTGCCTGCTCTCCAGATAGAACATAGAAGTTTTAGATAGTTCAAGGGAACTGAAGGAATGGTGTAAGTGCAAGTTCTCATAAGGCCAGCTATAATGTGAATTTAATATGTAGTAGGTATCTCACAGTTACAGTAACCATCACTCGTACACTGCTACCCTAAAAAACACTCCATGGTTTGTCCCATAATGAAAATGAAGTGATCTAAACTACCTATTGTTAAAAAAGAGGACAGTCAGGCACTGATGGTAAAAAGTAAACTATCAGATCCACTTTTGCTTCATGTAAACCTCTTCTCACAAGATGAAAGAAATCTGGAAATGTTAAAAATTTTATGATATCCTTCGTACCTGATCTTAGAGATGACATGGGACACAGATAATCCTAGATCAGGGTCTAGTAGGCATCAGACAAAGTGCAGAACCTTGACATTTGTCAGCAGAGTCCTGACTTTCTTTGCTTTGAGACCTGCCCAGCATCCTATTCTAGGGGAAATTATCCATTGAGGCATCTGTGTGTGTACAGGTCATCGCCATCTTTCCAGGAAGGAGTTGCCACTATGTATGTAGAGAACAGCAGGCATCCAAAGGAGGGATGAAGAGGAGGGAGATGGCACTTGCAAATCAGAGGGTTTGGTAGTGAGCATCTACCTCTGCTTCAGATAGAATGGAAGGCAAACCTTGGACACGTCTCCATTATCGTTTGCTCAGCCTCTGATAGTTACAAGTGAAAAGTGGCCTGTAGAGAAGCAAAGCTAACTAACTGAAGTTTGTGTGGCAAGGTTTTGGTAGCAGG